ATAAGGAGTTATATACTAAAAAGCTATCGGCTAGGTAGGCCCGCGATAGGATCTTAAACTGTTTAGATAAGAGGATTAGTACGAAATCGGCAAAGGACTATATCGACCTTAACTATATAGATAAGGTTTAGTTATCGCTTAAAAGAGCGGCCGTAGGGAGGTCGCCGGGGTTTAATAGCTTACCTGCTAAGTATTACAAAGCTCTTATCCGCGTAGAACCGAGTACCGTACGAATTGGGACTAATAGGAAAGTGGAACAAGAACCGCCACTAATTGCCTACCGGATCGCTAAGGTTAGTAAGCAAATAATAGTTAGGAACGAGCTCCTAGAGGGATAGACAGACGGTATCCTTACCCTTCTCTATAAGGAAAAGGGCTCTCCCGAGGAGCTAAAGAATTACCGACCGCTATCTATAATAAATGTTAATTATAAGATCTTTACTAAGGTTCTTATATAAAGGATAGTACACGTATTAAAGGATGTTATCGGCCCCTATTAAAGTGCCTTTTTACTAGGGCGCTTAATTAACGACAATGTTAGGACAGTTTAGTTCCTAATCGACCGATATCGACCTCGAGGTAATAGACCCCCGATTAATAAAGAGCCTATCGCTATCCTCTTCCTAGATTAGGAGAAAGCCTACGATAGAGTTAGCTATACTTTCCTTTAGGCGGTATTAAGCAAACTCGGCTTCCTAGACTAGTTTATTAGGTAGATCAAGCTGTTATACTCTAATGTACGTACTCGGGTTTACTTAAACGGCTTCCTTAGAGATTCGATTCAGGTTCACTATAGCGTACGCTAAGGTAACCCTATAAGTTGTCCTCTCTATATCGCAGCTATTAAGGGATTAGCCTAACTTATCCTAAGGGACCTAGAGATTTCTAGGGTCTTTACGAAGGGACAGGTCATTAAGCTAATAATGTATATAGATAATACGGCGGTAGTTCTGCGTAATTAATTGGAGGCAAACGCCCTAATAAAAGCGCTTAATATATACTCCGTAGCATTAGGTGCAAAGGTTAACTAGGATAAATCATACATCCTCTATATCGGCAATATCTAACTATTAGCTTTACCTAGTGTCTAGGTAGTCTCTCCGGAGTACCCCTATAAACACTTAGGGATCCTAGTAGGGATAGACATCGATATATAATTAAAGGACTTCTAGGTAAAGATCTAGGACAAGTTCGAAACGGTAGCCTCCTAATAGTTGAAATATTACCTATCTTTGAAAGGGAGAGTGTTAGTAGCGAATGCCCTAATAATATCCTTGCCCCGATACGCGATAAGGTTCCTTAAAGTCCCTATATCGACGAGAAAGGCGTTAGAAAAGGAGTACTATCGCCTAATATAGGATAGCCGGAGACATACGATTACTAACCTAAAAGCCTACTACGCGAGAAAGGAAGGCGGCTTAGGCTATATAGATATTAACTCTATTATTAATAGTAGTGTTACTACTACTATAATGCGAGCTACTGCTAGACCTAGTCTAGTATAGGCCTCTCTAGCGAACGAGGTATTAGTAGGATGCGCTAATACCTAGTCTATTAATAATGCAGTTACTAACCCCTAGATCTAGGCCTTCTCTTCGCGAGTTTAGGCGGTTCTAGGTTCGGTAGGTTACCTCTAAAGAAGGTAGAGTTCACTCTATAACTTTACTAAGGAGGACTGTATTATCGTAATAGACCCGCCGAAGACTCGCAATAATGTACTATCTACCGCATTGTTCTACTACCCCCTAATCTCTCCGGGACTAGGGGCGGGGGCAAGGCGGTAGAATAGTAAGGGATAGAAGCTGCTCTAGAATACAGGGGCTCGGCTATTAGGGGACGTATAGGACCCTAATAAAAGAGCCCCTAATATTCCTACTGCAATTGTTAGTAGAAGTAATATTAATAGGGCCCGTAAGGCTATTAGGGGCTTAATTAAAGCCCTACCGACGGATTGGCGGGCCCTACTTAATAAGAGGGATAGACCTTAGAGATCTCGGCCTCGTTATAAATACAAGTTTAGAACCTATAGCGACCCGGCTAAGCTTAGCAAAGTCGGCTTCGCTACGGCGTATAGGACTTTCGTTACGAGGCGCCTAAAGGGACATAGCTTTAATAGGCTAACCTAGAGGTATCTCTAGGTATATAAGTTAATAACGGGATGTGAAATGGACCTAGAGGACCTCTAGAAATCACTCCGCCTCCTATACGGTACGCTAAAGGCAGGTAACCTGCTCTAGCGGATCGTATATAGAAAGGTCCAATCGGGCTCTTAGCTTACCTAGATCGAACCGGCATAGTAGATATGCCCGGTAGACGGGAGGGATCTCTCCCTAAACTATATTTAGCTAGACTATAAGGTCTCTAAGGCGGTTTAGGAGGAGTTCTACTTAATGTAGTATAGAGTCTCCTCGGTTTAAGTTCTAGAGGTAAGGACGTTAGACGGGCTAGTAGTCTTAACCGCCTTTTTACTAAACCTCCGTAGATTAGATAAAAGGCGCTAGCTCGTGCTAAGCTAGGCTCTAGTATAGGGTTTGTAGAAGTGTTACCTATTACACTCCTTTACTAAGCCGGTTAACTATTAGCGTATCGATACGGCAGTTAAGTTTTTTAGGATATTAATTAGGAAACAGGTCTACGTTAATCGGATAGCCTACTTAATTAACAAGTACATAGGAAAGAAGTATAACGCGAGGACCTTTAAGCAACTCTAAGGGCAGGAACCGAAGCAGGTTAGGATCCGACGGGAGCCTCGGATCCTTTAGTAGGTGTATATTACTAGAGGGCCCTTCTAGGCTTTAGTATTGTTAGATTTAGAAAGGATTATATAGGATTAAGGTAGCGTAGTATTCTAGTCCTCGTACGCTCTTCCCTTGAATTAAGTAAATGCGGTACTAATTACTATCGATAGAAGACAGTATATAGGGGAGCGATAGTAGAAGGGTTCGACTCTCTTAACGAGCTGCCGGTACCGGGTATCTCCTCTATAGCAGTTGATAAATAGCAGACAGGGTAGTAGCTAGCTACTATATAGTTAGCTACTGAAATAAAAACAATCTTATTGCTCGAAGAAGCTATGCTAGATTTCTACTATTCTAGCCCCGTAGTAATAATCCGAGCGAAGCCGTAGTAGGTAAGCGGCGGATAACAATTAGTCTTAGCAGGTAGTTTCTTGCGTAGGCAGGTAGGTAGTTTCTTACGCAGGCAGGCAGGTAGTTTCTAGCGTAGGTAGGTAGTAGCCTTCTACGTAGTAGAAGGCGTATTACTATCTGCTAGCGTAGGGGTTGAATTCAAAGATACGCCTATATAAAAGCATTCTAGCCCTCTTATTAGTAGAAAAGATATCCCCCCTACGTAACCGCAACCTTAGGCCCGAGATACTAGATTGTTATCCGCCGCTCGCCTCCGGCTTCGCTCGGCTATCCTAACCTATACCGCGGGTCTACGGATACTTTATATATATAGCTAATAACATTGCCGTTATAATACTATAACAAGTCTGCTACTGTTTCAATCTTAACGGTATACCGACAATTCGCTCCTAACTAATTGCTATTATCTACGCTCTTCTTACCTCTTACCTAAAGTACAGATTACCGCGGGAGAATTAATATAGATAGTAGGACGATAGAGCGTTTAAGGTCGCCTATCTAAGATGTTTCGTAGCTGCTAGGATTATAGGCTTCGACGGTCGTACGGCTAGTTTCTTTCGTTATACTCGTTTATAAGGACGAACTAAAATCGAAGGTAGTCCGCGATATTGCTACGGTCGTAGTACGTCTGCTAATGTGTTAAGTATCGCCTTAGACGGTAGCTTGCGTAAGGATTAAATAGTAAGTCTACTAGAGATACCGATAGCCTTCTTAGCTATCGCATAATTGCTGCCTAAATAGAGCGCTACGGCAATTATAGACGTCGAGAAGATAGCATTAACAATAGACTGTCTTGCCGACTAACATTACGTATGCGAGATGCTACTCGTCCTACGTTATTAATAGCGCCGCATTCAAAAGACCTATCTAGTAGATTTTCTAATTCTAAACACTATAGCCTACCTCCGTTTAGGCCTTTATATATTAAGGATTACGTTCCGCGGTAGTAGTAGTAATATAGTCAAATTTAGGGTTCTTTTGCCGACTTCCGATCTACTAATTATATACTACTCTATCTAATCCTTTACCTAAAGGCCTAAAGCTAAACCGCTGATTTTTATCGTAGATTCTGCTATTAAAATACGATCTCGCTACACTAACGACAACTAGCAAATCTAATACGAGGAGGTTGTAGCCCTACTAATTACGAGTCTAACGATCTAAAAATCTCGTATATACGACGTATACGCGCTAAGTTACACTAATTTAGCCGAGCCTACTTCTATAGCTTTCCGCCTATCTAAATATACCGATTCTTAATATATCGCTATATACTAAGTCAATACCTAGAGGTCCTTAATTAGGGCTATCCGACTAACTTCTTCGCTATACGTACCTACGCGCGACTTCTCGCTATCGAGTTCTCGCCTACGTTAGAAATAGTTCTAAATACTAAGGACTAAAGAGATAGTTTCCCCTACTAGATTAAAGCGACTATATAGGCTAAAGTATAGATTAGATAGATACGCGGAGGTTGTAGAGGGCACTAGAAAGGTAGACCTCCGACGATTTATTATCGCTATAGAGTGTCGTTTGTTTAATCGTAAAGTATATAGGGATAGACAAACGAGTTAGGCGAGACTAGCAATTTATGTTTCCTAATAATAATTCTCGAATTTGTAAAGCAATAGTATTATTAAAATAGCGGATATTCTTAATTACTAAATTATCTAGGAACCGTCTCTATAAAGTGCTATACTACGGGTAATAGTTGTTGCGGTATTCGAGCTAATATATATATACTAGTAGGTAGATAGGCGAGCCTACACCCGCCTAGAACGGTTTGTCGTTAGGCGCTTCGCTAGAATGAGATCTCGAATAGCGCTAAACCTAACGTGGTATAGTGTAGAAATGGAAGTCACGAGCACACACACGAATTCAACTACGAAGCGCCTGAATGGAGGTAGACCATAGCTCGGCGTTTCAAAGAGTCCTAAGGCTGTGCAAATTCCTGGCGATCCAATGACCAACCCGAAGTGCAGAGACATAATCTGAGAGGACTGATCGTCCCCGACGCTCCAAGTGGCCTTCTGTAGAATGCCCCGACGATGAGATTTGTCAGTGGCGGTCGCAAGAATTTATGGATGAGAATGAGCTTCGCATACTGGAGCAGCCTACACATTGATCACCATCTGCATGAAGTGCTCCTCTTGCCGCGCAGTCACCACGATGCTCGATTATGTGCTGAAGACAGCTCTTTGCAAAGCGGATTTGCAGCGAAGACACAGGGGAGACAAAGCTTCGTGGAATAGACCACCAAAGGCTCTCGCGATGCTCTCCGACGACAAATGTTGCTGAACTGTTGATGGCGGCGACGACCTTTGGAAAAAGGCGAATGCATGGAGGGCAACTCATCTTTATTGTCATTCCATGCCTGCGGAGCATCTTGCATGTGCATGTCTTCTTGACTTTCTGGTATTGCTCCACGCCGCACTTCTTCTTAAGTGTGTCTTCGTTCGGCTTCTTTGGCTTGTCGCCGACTATCGCATTGCCATCTTTGAGCCTGAGGTGGAAGCTCATAACGGTGACCTCGTCTAGCTCAGCCTGCTCCTCTTTCCGCTTCTGCTGCTTTTTTTCTTGGGCTTCTTTGTCTAGGTTCTCTGTAGCGCCGATACTTACTCCTGCCTTTGGAGATGGCTGTAATAGTTGCGATCGCGCTACCGACCGAGAGACATGTCGACCAAGGGAGTGAAGGGTGCAGGAATTGCGTGACACATGATGACTGCACTCGAGGACTGGGGCCCGATCACATACAACCCACACTGTGTGCTGATCGATGCTTCTCAGTGACCGAAGATGGGTTGAGCGATGCAGAGGCCTGCTATGTTGCGTGGAGCATGACGGATCCAAAAAATCCCTGCACCAACCACGATAGAATACTACCTTCATGGGACCCAAGTAAGATTTCTTAGAACGATTCGTGGTTGCAATGGGAGCAGAAGCTATCAAACGCCGACGAGGATCAATGCCAGGTAGCTGTCATGTTGATGACACGATGGACTCACCTCATTTTTGATCTCATCTGTAGGTGCCGTGAGACTTCGAAATGTTGACTCTTCCAATACTGCTCTTCAGCAGCCTTGTCACCGCCCACGAAATCCACTTCACCTCCACCGGGAACCCCATCCTCGCAGATGGCTCACATTACTCAGCCGATCCCGCTCCAATTGTAGTGGATGACAAGCTGTACATCATCGCCGGAGAAGATACCGCACCGATAGGGAAGAATGACTTTTTCATCAAGAATTGGAATCTCTTCAGCACTGAGTCCGCCACGCCAGAAGGAGGGAATTGGACACTCTGCGCCCCATTCCTCAAGCCACACGAAACATTTGCTTGGGCGAACGAGAGCTCCGCATTTGCCGCCCAGATTGTTAGAGGGCCTCGTGGGAGATTCTTCCTCTATGCTCCGGTCTGGCAAAACAACGCTTCCATGGACGAGGATCCTTTTGGTATCGGAGTAGCCGTGGCGGATGATATTCTGGGTCCTTACTGTCCTTTTCCGGAAGGTTGAGAATGCCAAGACCTGGGAAACCCCACCAAGATTTTGCTAGTAAATCGACCATTTTGTCCCATTCTTTAGCTATATAGCCCCAAACACGAGAAAATACATGTTGTTAGTATAGCCGTTGAATATGTAGTCTAAGGTGTTGTTATTAGTATTGTTCTAGCTCTTCTACGCCGTACGCGCCCTCCCTACGGCCCTACCTACCGATACTACGCGACTCGCTAAGCACTATTTTAACGCCGGTTATAAGGTGGTTAATATCGTATTAAAGATAGGTACGAGCTAGTCGACTGTATATCGTTAGAAGTTCTATTATAATTAATTTAGTAAGGTATTCTTACTATCGAAGCGGTTTAAATCGAGTCGTAAGAGGAAGATAACGAAGGAGATAGAAATCTATCTACTTAAGTACTTATCGAAGCGACCGGAGGTATACCTCGAGGAGATGTATATCGTGCTATTCGATCGCTTCGATATCGAGGTAGACCCGTTAATAGTATAGCGCTGTTTATATAGTGCTAGATAGATACGTAAGGCCGCTCGGAAGATCGCGAAGGAGCGTAGTACGCTAGCAAGAGCCGCCTAGTATACTAGGAGTTAGAAATAGCCTATCGATAAGTTAGTATTTATCGATAAGACGGCTTCTAATAAGAAGACTAGACACCGTAAGTTTAGATAGTCTCCGAAGGGTATAGATTGCTACGACTATTAGTATACGCAACGGTAAGAGCGAATGTTAGTACTTCTAGCGCTTACAATCTATAGCTATTTACCGTATACGCTCTATATCTAAGGCGCTGTTAATTAAGTCACCTTTAACGACTAGATTAAGAACAAAGTACTACCGCTTCTAGACGAGAAGATGATTATTATAATAGATAACGCGTTAATCTACTATAGCGATAAGGTTGAGTCGATAATCCGGTTAGCTAGACATACGCTCGAGTACTTACCGCTATACTCTCCTAACTTGAATTCTATCGAACAGACCTTCGCGCTGCTTAAGAAATAGCTTAAGAAGAATAGAGACCTTATAGCCGACTTCGAGACCTTCTAAGAGTTCCTTATATAGGCGCTAGACTATGTTAGAAAGATAGATGTAATAGGGTTGTTTAAGTATAGTAGATATAACGTAAACGGCTTTAATGAAGCTGAAGCTAAAGCGGAGATTAAAGCGGAAAGCTAGCTTACTCGGAATTTCCAGTCGCTTCAAATCTAACTACTACAACCTTGATTATATATCTTAGTATTTATAGGATACTAAGATAAGATGGATATAAAGCTCCGTTATGATTTTTATATATGTAGCTAGTATAGTGTTAGTGTAGCAAAATTAATAATAGGATTGTAGGTACTACTAAGCTTTATATGTTACCTCCGCTTTCAACTCCGAGAATAAAGCCGGAAAGCACTCTCGAAGCAACGACGGTAATAGAGATATACATAACGGAGCAAATAGTAAGCCCTTGGATTCGTAGTTTGTATATAAACGCCTAACTAAACTAAACAAATAGAAACAGCCGTCGCTCCGTTACGAATATCGTTATTATCTTACTCTCTCTCGGATAGTTTCTCCTTCTAGAAGCGCTTTAAGCAGTTACGTAACGTACCTAAGTCGCCTTTATAGAAGCTAAGCTCCTTCTAATCTCTTATAGGAAGTTAATATAACTAATCGCAGTTATATCGTTTAGTTACAAAGTGTGCTTCTATCTTTAAGAGCTGTTCTTTATCCTTAGCTTCCTTCCATTTGTGCTAAAGAGCGGCCTATTAAAAGAACTGTCTTAGTAGGCTTCTTAGCGGTATATTTAATTGCTAAGCAACGTATCTTAGAATAGGCGACTCTTGCGACTAAGCGTCTTTAACTAGCACGGCGGCAGCGGCGGCGGCGGCGGCACCTAGCTTCTAGTTAACTAAATTGAATATAGTCTATAGAAGACTAACATAATCAATAGCTAGCGGCGGAGCTAGATATATAGGCGCAGAGCGAGCCCTTGCTAGTGTCTATACTTAGAAGGGCTCCTTCGCGGCGGCAAGTAGACTGTTTAGTTTACGAGCCTACTGTTTCTCCTTATATAGCTGCATCTTCGCGAACACACTATATAGCGGCTTCTTAAGAGTCACACCTTCTTGCTTTATAGCAAGGGCATAAAACTATAGCTTTATAGCCTTACTATAGAACTAGTAATAGTAGCGATCGATATCTAGCAATCCTTTAGGCCTGTAATAGTAGTTGCTATAGTTCTCGCAGCTAGGAAGGGTATATATATAGTTAGTAAGAAGCTTAGTAGTATAGTTGCCTTCTTTCCGCTCCTTAGTAATAAAGGCAAGGCTATCGATATTCTGTTAATTATTCGGCTTTAATTTGCTAACCTTAAGGATAGCTCTAGTTCCGGCATCTTTTATAGCAGTCTTGAACTCGATATCAACCTTGATCTTATCTCGAGCATTATTTATTAATTCTATAGCGTAGTCGAGAGCCTTGTTATAATCTTCTACTATAGAAGGAATTAGTATAGGTTAAGCGGAAGAAGCCGTTAGGCAAGAGCGATAGCAATAGCAAGAATATCGTTACCTTACCTTTCTTCTAACTCTACTTAAACTAGTTACCCTTCGACACCTTCGCGGCGGATACGATTAATACATAGTTACCGACGTAGAGCTACTTCTTCTACGCTTCTTCGTTAGCCTAATAGTACGCATCTTTAGTATATTAAGTGCTAGCACTAGTACGGTTATAGTTCTCGAAAGCCAGCTTATTATTGCTAGTAAGAAGGCGCTAGGTTTGCTCATACTAAAGGTCCTTACAAGGGTTATAAGATAGCGTAGATATATCTTCCTCGTTTATCTACTAACTATTAACTAGGCGCCGCGCCGGCGAGGCATTAGCTAAACGTATTAACTCGCTAGCCTTAACCGCTATATTGTTATCTTCTGCTATAGTAGTAGCGGCATTATTAACCTAGAAGTCCTTATACGTCGCTACCTCGAAGGCCGGTATATTACTAAACTTCTCCTACTACGCCGTCTTCTTCTTTCTACCGCTACCGCCGCCGCCGACCGCCTTCTTCTCGACCGCCTTCTTCTTAACCGCCTTCTTCTCGACTGCCTTCTTCTTACCCTTCTTAGTAGGCAACTCGCGCCGCTTAACCGCTTCCTTATACGCTAGAAGGTCCTTCGAGGCCTGTTTCCGCGATCGAGACGCGCGCTCTATAGCTACTAAGTATTCGAGATATAGGCGCTATAAATTAGTTACTATCGATATAGCGACAAGAATAGTAACCTCTAGCGGTAACAAGGCGTAACAATACATATTAAAGAGGCTGGATTAATAAGCGGTGTAATAGTAACTATAATAGGCCTAAGGAAGTCTAATCTTAGAGTTCTATAAGGCTCAAAAAACCAGGAGTCTTGGCATTCTCAACCTTCCGGAAAAGCATAGTATGAAGATGCTTATCCCGAAGGCCCTATTGTGTCGGACTCTTTCCCTCCACCTGGGAATGATATTGAGAATATCGATCCGACGGTGCTTGTCGACGATGATGAGAGAGTGTATATGTACTGGGGGACGTTTGGTAGTCTTAAGGGTGTGGAGTTGAAATCAGATATGGTCACATTTGCCAGCAATGTCACGGACATAACCTCACTCGAGGGCTTCTTTGAGGCGCCCTGGATCATGAAACGTAGAGGAACTTACTATTTGCTCTACGCAGACAATAATGTGACGTCCAGCTCGCATTGCACGCCAACACTGTATCATGCCTGCATTGCGTATGGAACAGCCTCGTCACCGATGGGGCCATGGACTTATCGGGGTGTCATTCTCGGGATTGTCTCTTCGACCACCTCACATCCAGGCGCAATCGAATGGAACGGTCAATGGTACCTCATTTACCATACATCAGATGCGAAAGATGGGGGTATCTTCCGGCGAAGCATTGCTTGGGACAGGCTCACATTCAATGACTACGCCTCGCCACCTGCTATTCAGCGAGTACAGCAGACCAAAAGACCGTCGCCGAAAGCGAAGCCGACATTGAATCGAGCGCAGCTTGCGACGCCGTCAAGCGATCCAATATGTTTGATACAATATTGGATCGCGGCGTTGAATGATGAAAAAGTCAATCCTAACCCGCTCCCTCCAGAATACTGGTCGTCGTGGAATGATTCGACGAGTCAAGTTAACGTCACTCTAACTTATACATGGAACGAGACTGTGGCGCTGAATGGCACGTCAATGGTCTTCTGGGCTAATCACGATGCAGGGGACGTTGAAGGGGTCTATCTCCTATTAGACCCTTGTGTGCGCAGGCTAAGTGACATCATCGTTTATTTATAAACTATTAAACGCCTTGCGCAGCAAGGGTCTAAATACAAACTGTTAGATTTAGACAGCTAAAATAACTAACTTAGCGTATAACGCGAAATATAGAATTATTAGAAGTATATCTTATAGCGCGTGTAATTATAAGTTTAACGCTATAAAAATAAAGCGCGTACGACGTTATAGCGTTAAGATACTATTAATCTCCTAAGCCGGGTTTGTTTAGCTAGCCTATAGCTAGCCGGCTTTAGCTATAGGCCGATAGATACCTATATTACGATACTAATATCTCGAGAAAGGAACTATTAGAGGTTATAGAGCGTATAATTCTAAGTAGATTCTTTGCTAGATATAATACTATATAATATTGTTTTAATGCTTCTACGAGTAAGTAGTAGAAGCCGGCTAAATTACACCCCCTTTATTTTACCTATAAACACTTAGCGCTTGTTACGCGTACAATTCTAAGATATTCTATATACTATTTATATCGATACGACGTAGTAGTATTATATTCTAGTCGATAAGCGGAGGTCGCTTAGCGGAGCTTATAGTACGTATATATATCCTACAAATTATAAGTATATAGCTAAACAATATATAACTAAATACATACCGCGATTAGTATCGATCTAAGACTTCCTTAAAAGCCTTAACTAAGTCCTTCTCGGGTCCCTCGATAATCGACTAGTATACTATAGTACGAGACTCGGTACTCTTAGTCTTATCGATAACGATCTAAACCTTAATAACGCTAGATTAGACAATACCGCTACTACGAGTAGTACGACCGAGATATTAAGCGTACTTAGCGAGGTTATTTAGCGTAGTATACTACTAGTCCTATATCTCGAGTAGACTATCGGAAACGATACCGGTATAGAAGGCAGGGTTAGTAGTAAGAGTACGGCGAGAAGAAGTAGTTATATTGCCGCTCTCGATACCGCGCTTATATATTCCGATAAGTATAGCGAAGGCCTTAAAGATAATGCTATTATCGCCTTAGATATTAATTATCTGTCTATCTTTACTATCTCCGAAGATAAGCTTGTATAGGGTACTAACTTATAACTCCGTTAGCTCGATACCGTAAAGGATACTACCTTCCTTAAGTATACGAGACACTGTATTTATAATAATATCGCGCTTAACTTAATCGGTATAGGACGAGACCTTCTTAACTTTAGCAACTAGCTCTTGTATTTCCTTGCTTATAAGCGCCTCGATATCGGCGTCTTTAGTACCCTCGAGTAGATTAATATAGGCGATACGCTAGTAGAGATCGGATATATTATCGCTAGTAGTCTACGGCTCGAGGTAGTCGTTAAGTAGAGCTATACTATACTATAGCTCTTGTCTATAGTAGAAGAGGTATTAGCTTCTATATATAAGCTTTAGAGCGGTTAACGTTGTTATTAAAGGTTATAGGTTAATGTTCGAAGGTTAAGGTTCGTAGACGCGTAGCAGAAACGCGTCGACCTATAAAGAAGCGGTACGGATAGTTATATACGCTAGCATATATTCCCGTAGATTCTCGGTCTATACTTTTATATATACTACGCGACTAGTCGCGTCTAACTCTAACCTACCCTCTTCTATCTTGCTATACTTCTTTATAAACTTGTTATTTATATCTTCTAGAATATATCTACCTCTATATATTAACTACCTCTATATATTAACTACCTCTATATATTAACTACCTCTATATATTAACTACCTCTATATATTAATCTTCCGCCGATACCGCTATAGTAAGAAGTATACTAAATACTAATTAAATATCGCCGCCTACTATTATATCAGACGATATACTAGAGGATATAGACCTCGACGATCTACTACTATAGACCTTCGCGTTTATAGGTAGCGGCCTAGTTCCGGGCCCTCTTAATAACATATCGAGCGATCTAAGTATAGCACTACTAATATTAGATGTTAATCGCATATAGACTATAGTTAGCCGATAAGCACGTCGCCTCGTAGCTTATCGTTAAGCGCTAATCCTAGAGATTAGTTCTTAGGCTAGAGAAGAAGATAAGGACAACCTCGAGAGCGAGGCTTCGGAATAGGACGATAGACTTAGCGAGGATAATATCGAGTTAGAGATAATAGCAAACGAGGCCGACGGCTTTAATCTAGATAATAAGTAGGAATCCGACTGCGAAGAAGATAAAGAAGACACTATCGATAGACTACGTACGTATTGCGGTAAGCGAGGCAAAGCTCCTACTACTATCGCTAATAAGCGTAAGGCATAATAGTAGCGTATAGTAGCCGATAAGACCGACGAGGAGAAGTTTAAGACTCTAATAGTATAATTTAAAATCGAATCCCTAGGCGTAATAAAGTTCCTCCGCTAGTAGGTCGAGAAGGTAGGTAGTAAGACCTATCGACGTCGTATTAGGTATATCTTAAACAACTTTACTCGAGAGTATTTAATTAGCGGTCGGGAGCTGCGTTCTAAGTTAAAGAAGCTTATTAGATAGAAGTTCTTTAATAAGTACGATACGATAAAGGCCGTTAAGCTAGCCGACCTTATAGATATATTAGAAGTTATTTAAGAAACCGCTCTAATATAGTATAAGTTGCTCGAGCGTCTACTACTAAACAAGCGTACTAAGGTTAATATAGACATATCGTAGCTAGCTACTAGCGGAGGCAATAATAACGACGACGACGATTAGAAGGGTAAGAATACCGCCGAAGAACGAGACAAGCACCGCTAATACGAGAAGCGTATCTATATTATTACTTAGATAGTCGCTCGGTCTATAGCTTTAAAGAAAGCGTATTTCTTCGCGAAGGGCTTTAGCTTGTTCCTATACACTTCCGGTATTAAGCGGCGTATCGTTAATATACTTAGTAGCCTCGGTATATACTTAGCCTACTCGATAATCTAGAGAGTCGCTCGCAAGATTACTATCGAGAATCGTAAGCGCACTATTACCCTAGCTAAGAAGATAAAGAAGCAGCCGGTTGTTATTATCTACGACAACTTCTATATCTCCTAGGATCGTTATAGTATATAAGCTATCGGCTAATCTACGAAGTAGAGAAACATAACTACTTCTTATATTGCTCGATATCGCGCTATAAAGAAGCCGCTCCGCCGGAATATACTAGATCGTATAAAGAAGCCAAGTCCGAAGGTTATCTTACGTAGCTATAAGAAGGATGCTACTCGGAAGGCTATATCGCTATATTATATCGACTAGGCGATAGGCTTTATATTCGGCTCGGAGCTTAAGAAGCTATTCGCGGACTTCGACTTTAATAGCTACGAGTTAACGAAGGGCGGCACTAAGACGTCGCGTTTGCTATAGTACAAGATCCGTATTAAGAACCTAAAAGATAGTAGGACGATTATTATCTCGCTACCGGTATCTAATTATAATAAGGCCTCGATCGAGGAGACCTATAAGGTATATAACGATATCTTCTAGTCGTTCCTTAAGCTTAATCTAGATAATAAAGCATTCTAGGACTAGCTTATTATTATTATTAGCGACTAGTTAACTATCGAGCGTATCCGTAGCGTTTAGGCTAGTAGTGTCGAGAGTACCCGTACCTATAACCGTAAGGAGTTTATAGTACCTATCGCGGCGATATTCTATATCGAGATAAACGCTTACTATATCTCTATAAAGACTTACTACCTACGGAACAACTATAAAAAGGGCAAGAAGCTTGCTTATAACTACTAGGATAATGCTACGTACTATAGCGTAACCCGTCTAACTAACAAGAAATACTAGTACTATATTATTAAGCAGGTCGTAGTCCGATTATATCGCGGTCGTATCGTTACCTTAGTTATTCGAATCTTTATAAGCCGCGGCTAGCTAGACTTTATAGATCCTAAGCGAGCTAATAAGAGCTATATCGATGCTATACGGTATATAATCGAGAACCGTATTACTCCTAAGTAGTACCTAGAAGTCGTAGAGGCTGTCTACGAGATAGCCCTTACTTAGAAGGCATAGGTTAGTAAGGATAAGAGCGGTCGTATCGTCGATCCTAACTTTACTACTATAGCTCGTATACTAATAGAGATCGATAACTACCTTACTATCTATAAGGCAATCCGTAAGATAGATATTAGGCATCTTCGGCGTATAATCGATATCCTAATACTAAACTTCTTTAGTGCTTATTAGCTTAATTACGGTCGCGAGATAGTATATATACGGTAGTTGCTAAGCAGCGCTACGTACTAGGATCTCTAGGATACGATTCTCGAGTCTACCGTAGTTAAGATAGACAGCGGTAGGGGTATTACTACCGACGAGTTGCTTAAGCTATATAATAAAGAGTACGTAGATAATATTAAGGCTTATAGCAATTCGATATACGATATTACTACTACGATAGAGCTTATCTCCTAGAACCGCGAGGCTTCGAAGAATATCCGTAATATATTCGAAGACCTAGGACCTAAGAGTACTAGCTACTATACCGAGAAGAAGATTAGCAATTATATCGTAGCCTTTACCCTAAAGCTAATCGAAGATAGTCTTGCTAAAGTCTAGCTATAGGATAGCCTAGGAGAGGATATACGAGTCCTATTAGACGATATCTAGTAGCTCGGCGTAGCTTAAATTGTACTAGCTATCGAGGCATTATATTAGGCTAATATACGCCTAGTTAGAGGCGTAACTCGCACGTCGGCTAACACTGCTACTAATAGAATAGATAAGATCGATAGTGCTAATACGAGGGAACGTATTAATAGCGGTACTAATCGAGGTCCCGTCGCTACTAGCGTAGTAGATAATAATATAGATAGATAGATAGATAGATATTTTATTTGCCTGTTGTAGTGCCTTTCGGCCTATGCAGGTCTGTTTCTATATATTGTTTTAGGTAGGAAACTAACTTAGTTAGTAAAAACCTCCCTCCTATCCTATTTATAAGTATTAATCTTCCTCGTTTCCCTGTTTTCCTTCCTCTAGGGTATACTAGTGTTATAGTTGTTACCCTCTAACTACCTTGC